GTGAGACATTATTCACATATTTACCCATAAAGCAACTTTTCTTTTATTAAAAAGAAACTTCTTCTTTCCTTTCCATGTCTTCTTTCTCCCCCTTGTTTTCTTATTTTCTTTTATAATTCTTCCTTTCTGTCTCTGCACTTTGACCAGTAAGGTGATTCGATAATAAATATTCGCTGATCTCTAAAATCTATTTAAGTTTTCTCGCCAGATATTAATTTGTCATTTATTTTAATTAATAATAATAGCTTGATTATTAAAAATAGCTACGATTAAAATAGCAACAACAGTAACTGAAAAAGGAACTGCAAGAAATTGGTTTAATGATCATCCAGGCCCGTCTACAGAGATAGGACCTGTAATAATTTTATAGGATTTTACAATTCAAACAGATTCCACAATCAAAGCTAATCGCCCAGTTATCGTATTTAAATACGACAAAAACAGAATGAGCTTTCTTATTGGCATATTAGTCCCTGCTGATCGTAATATATCATTGAAGAAATTCGAAAAAAACTATCAAAATACAAAGATCTTGAAGTAGAAATGTCAAAAATGTGGCATATGAGAGCATCAATAATTCCAGATTTAGTTGGAGCCCTCGGATTCCTTGGAAAGTTTCATATAGACTCATTGAAGGGATTCTTGGTAGCCCATACCTTAAAGAAATATACAAAATTGTATTCACAATTACAGATCACACATTATGAAGCGCTTTATCTATGTAAAATATGCGTGATCTTAGTGTGACGTCGTCCCCCGGTCGCAGCGTCGACTGTGTCGTTCGATCCCGTTCGCGGCGCCAATTGTGACGTCCCGTGCTCCCCAGGCTCTGATATCCTGGTCACGGACAGCACCAGTTGTGACGTCTTTTGTCGCTGCGTCAGCTGTTCGCTCCTCGCTGCTCCAAACGTGACGTTCTAACCCTTTGGTTAGATTGATACCAGCCTCGTCGTTCTCAACCCGCTTCCAACGCCTGGTTACCAAGGTAACTGCACTGATCTCCGGTCTGCCTACCCACGTTGTGACTTGATCTTAGACAGACGAGATCAAACAGGGCTTGGGGCCGTAATGCAAGTTGAGTCTAACGGGGGTGATAACACACAATTATGTATAATAAGAAAAGAAATAAAATAAAAACTCACAAGGTCCAACGCATCAAGAAAAAGGTAACAAACTTTTATGTCTCTTTGCTCGGTACATAGGACTATGTCTACTTCCCCGACCCGTTCTGTGGATTGTGGCACGACGCTTTTTACTAGGCAACTTTAAGGCTTCCAGTTGTCTGCTCTCTAAGAAATTTGTGTTTCGGCGTGTCCTTGGACGAAAGTCGAAAAAAACTTATTTCTGTGGTCTGATTTTAAGTCGCTCTTCAAACTACTTGTTCTTGGTTGAAGAAGAGTCCAGAAGTGTGCGTGAATCTTGGTTAGCTATCTTGACGCGGTTTCAACACTGGGCGCTCATCTCTGCTTGTCGTTCACGGCTCAAACTCCAACTCAAACTCTCTCGCTGTCCGCTCTCAAACTGTCTCGCTGTCCGCGGCGCAAAACTCTTCAGAGTCTGAATTACTGGTCACTCATCTCCGCCGTCGTTGCGCGAATTAACTTCTTCTCTTCGGCTTAACTCTGATTCCAACTTCTCCTCTTCAGGCCAAATGAGCTGCTTCACTTCGGCCAAACGAGCTGCTTCACTTCGGCCAAACGAGCTGGCCTCTCCTGCCCGCTAGGGGGGGGAACGAATCCGGCCCGCCGTCCACGGCTCAAACTGCAATCCGCTCGCCGTCCGCGGCTGATCTGATTTCTGTCGGTTGGGGTCCCCCTTTTATTGACGCAGTCAAAACTGGGTTGGGTCTGTCTGGCGTCGGGGATTCTCTTTTGATAATTCTAAATACGTATCCACCCTTCTTATTTCTGGTTAGGGATTTTCCATTTTCGGTAACTCACCTTCACTCCCACCTCCTTATTGTGTCTCTGAGGGCGTATACCCGCTTCCCCGCTTCTTCGTATCGGCCCCTCACACTTACACTTCTGACAAGGGCGTCGACCGATTCTCCTCGTGCGTCACGTGACCGCTCTCGGCCAATGAGGTCCTGGTCGGGTATCTTTCCTCCTCCTTCGTGCGCCACGTGATCTTATTTAGCCAATGACGTCCTGGTCGGGTATCTTTCTCCTCCTCCGTGTGTCATGTGATCCCATCTAGCCAATGACGTCTTTTGTCGGGCGTGGACAATCCGTGGCTTTGTTCTGGGGGAAGAAACACCTTGCTTAAAAAAAATAAAAATTTAAATCGCCCTTATCATAAGCGACTGCGATGACACCTTCGGCTTTTTAACACGTGGTATTTGTCAAGCAGTTTATCGCTAATTGGATACGACCTAAGAAAGGGATTTCTCAGACCTGTTGGCGTTTCCGTGAACGAATAAAAATATTTCACTCTTTTTTTCCGGCCAAAGGCCCGATAATAAAAATTTTCATTATCTCAAAAAAACATTTTCAGCGAACATCATCTTGCGTGGCTTTTTCCAATTCTGGAAATTGTCTGTGTTTTCGTATTAATGGTTTGTCTTCATATCCTTAGATACACTTCCCACCTGTTACCTATCATATTTTTCATTGTCTCTAAACTTCGTTTCTTCAACCATTTGATAACAAACTTCCATTTTTCGTGGACACGGAAGTAGGTCAGGTGCTTCACCTGGATATCTTCCGACATCTGTTATGTGTCAGTCGAGCGTGTGTGTGCTCGCTTATGACCTGTTTTCGTATTATTTATTTTTTTTCTTTTTCTTCTGTCTTCTCTTTCTTTCTCTCAGATCGCTTGAATGCAAAAAAAGAATTATTCCTAACCCCGAAATATTTTTCAGCCTTAAATAATTATCAAATGGTTGACAAACCGTAAAAAACAAATCATATATTTATGAATATTTCTTTTCAGCTCGCTAACTATGCATGGTGTCACTTTAGTTTTTTTCATAAAAATGATCAGGGCAAAATGTCATGAAGTCCATTTCTGACCTTAAGTCTAGGGTTGGGGCCCGGAAGGAAATGTGTATAGAATAGAAATAAAATAATAATAATAATAGAATAGAAATCAAATAATAATAATAATAATAATGTAATTATGTCTGTCACCTAGCTGCTGATACACTGTTCCTGAACGAGCGTAGTGGGCAAACATCATGGTTGGGTGTTCGTAGAGCTGCTTTTGTTATTTAAATTTGAAGGATAATGCAGTTAAAGTGACTAGAGAGTCAAGCTTCCACAGAAGACCGTCTGAGCAGAGTGGATGAACCAAACTGCAGTTTTCTAACTGGGTTTCACCTGCAAGATTCTGTGATGATTTTAACAAAATCTCTTACCATATTGTTCACCTTTGGCTGTACCAGCAATCATGATCTGTTGAATTGCAGTTTTTTCATGAATTTTGAGAGGCAGCTCAAAAAACAGAAACAGACTCAATAATAATAATAATAATAATAATAACGAAACGAGGATACAGGTACGAGACTAAAACAATAGATCTTAAAATATATCCTTAATTAACCAATAATTGGATGCTAATGCTTGTTTCCAGACATATTCCATGTTAGACGACACGGAAGAGCTCGGATATACCCCAGATATCTACCCTGAGGTTTTTAAGCTATTTAAAAACAATCGAATATACGAAAACTTAAGGTATCTGGGTGCCAAACGATTTAACAGAAATAATAATTGACCTCGTTATCCATTTGCGATCCTCTGCTGGTGAATTTTGCTGCTCTGCAGACCATAAAATAAAACTGATATCAAAAGTGAAAATCGTGACAAATACACTGATCTCGTAAGGAAAAGGAGAATGTCGAACATGGAGGTGCCAATTACGTGTTTTTTTTTGGGGGGGGGTGCTGCTGCTTTTTCAACGGTTCCAACTGACTTGTAATTTTCAAGAATTTATTTTGAAACAATTGCTAAAAGAATCAGAAATCCGAGCCAAAGCGCTTATTCAGATAACAGCATATTTATTATCGGTGTGCTCGTGAAGACAAGAATAGCGGCTCGGGATGAAATGTCGGAGAACAACGTTCGAATTCCGGTCGATTTCATTGCATTCACTTTCGCGCATCGCATATAGCGTTGGGAAAAGTTTGAAACCTTCTGTTCTCTCTCAGCTGTATATTAGGACAGCCTGAGCTTGATAACCAGTCGGGAAGAAGGACAACTCTGAATTAAACCGGTTGAGAATAGGGTTACCAATAACCATCCTGTAATGCCGGCTACTTGCTAGTTAAACCACGGCTGCAATGTCTAGGGTGCTGAGTGCTGCGTCCCCATACCATTAAAGGATTCTGTTTGACTTGGGTGAGTAAGTGAGAATTACTGGGAATGATGAAGGAGTGTTTAAATATTCAGGAGACTTGCTGTCACTAGATCTCTAAAACACCCATTAATTGAGAATTAACAAAAATCCAAGAACAAAAGGTTGTACTCCGGCTTAGTGTAATGTTTAGCGAAGCTAGTCTGGTTGGCCGTGAATAGTGTATTTCGATCAGTGCTGCATGCAACATCTGACAAGGAACCAGCAAGGGTTGATATGTAGAAAAACCAATTAGCCTAAACAAGAAAAAAATAATTAAAAAAAAATGAGATGTTTGTCGGTGAAGTATTACTTGCAGTACTGATGAGGAGAAAGGAAAAACTTTTGCATCTGTTGCTGAATGCCGTTTCTTCTTGATTTTATCATGCTTTTTATAAACTATTCGCGTATTTCGAAGTCGAAAAGTTGACTTCTTTTCCCCGAAACAGGCATTCGAGTTTAAGAATGTTTGGAATACACTTTCTTCAGATAAATAGAACTTAATTGGTGGTAGAGATACGAAGTCTTTTTTGCTTAAAAAAAAATAAAATAAAATAAAATAAAATGAAGTCTACATGGTGAGTGAAAATGTTAAGAATAGAGGGAAACATTTTTTTTTTTGGAAATCTGATGAAAGGCAAAAAGAAACGGATAAAAAGAAATAAAGTTTAGAAAGGTCGAGTGGAGCTTAGAAAGAGCGGGAAACGGTGGCCGGTAAATGAGGACATGTTTGAAAGAGGCAAGAAGATCTGAAGAAGATAGTAGAAGAGGAATAGGTGGAGGAGAATCATAGGAAGAAAAGCAGCGAGAATATGGTGAAAAAAAAACCGTTGCCAACAGGTGAAAACGAAGATTCAAACGAACGAAGAATGGAGGAGAACATAGAAGGAAATGAAAGAGGAGAATCAGAATGAAAAAAAATTAGAATAACGAGAAGAAAAGAGAATGAACAGCAAATGAAAACAAGGAAAATGTTAGAGAGAAAGCGAAGAAAGAAAAGATGTAGTTGAAGAAGAAAGAAAAGAAGAATGTCGGCGAAGCATAAAAGATTTAGGAAGAAATAAAGAAAAGTTGGTGGACAATAAGAAAAGTGCAACAGATAGGAGCAAAAAAAAGGAAAGTATGATGTGTAATACAGAAGAACGAGGAGGGGAAAATTAAAACAATATATATATATATATATATATATATATATATATATATATATATATATATATATATATATATAAGAGAGGAAGAAAATGATGAAGTAGATGCAGAGGGGAAGCTGAAATGAAAGTGTACGAAGAGAATGAGGTATTCGAGAAAAAGGAGAGTAAATATGAGAATGAGATATTGGAGAGAAAGTAGAGAAAATATTAGAAGATATTGGAGAGAAAGGAGAGAAAATATGAGAAGATATTGGAGAGAAAGGAGAGAAAATATGAGAAGATATTGGAGAGAAAGGAGAGAAAATATCAGGATGAGATATTGGAGGGAAAATAAAATAAAATATGAGAATGAGATATTGGAGGGAAAGACAGAAAATATGAAAATGAGATATGGGAGAGGAAGAAGGGAAAATATGATAAAGAGATATTGAAGAGAAAAATATGATAATGAGATATTGGAGAGAACGGAGAGGAAAATATGAGAATGAGTTATTTGAGGAAAGTAGAGAAAATATGATAATGAAATAATGGAGATAAAAGAAAATATGATAATGAGGTATTGGAGGGAAAGGAGAGAAAATATGATAATGTGATATTGGACAGGAAGGAGAGAAAACATGAGAATGAGATATATGAGGTTAAGTAGAGAAAATATGATAATGATATATTGAAAAGAAAGTAGAAAAAATATGAGAAGATATTGGAGAGAAAGGAGAGAAAATATGAGAATGAGATATAGGAGCGAAAGTAGAGAAAATATTATAATGATATAATGAATATAAAGTAGAGAAAATTTTATAATAATATATTGGAGGGAAAAGAGGGAAAACATGAAAATGACATATTGAAGAGAACGAGGAGAAAATATGAGAAGATGTTGGTGAGAAAGGAAAGAAAATATCATAATGGGATAGTGGAAGGAAGTAAAGAAATTATGATAATGAGATATTGAAGAGAAAGTAGAGAAAATATGTGAAGGAGATATTGAAGAGAATATAGAGGAAATATGAGAAGAATATATTGAAGAGAAAGGAGAGAAAATATGAGAATGAGCTATTAGAGGGAAAGGAGAGAAAATATGAGAATGATATATTGAAGAGAAAGTAGAGAAAATATGAGAAGAAGATATTGGAGAAAAAGAAGAGTAAATATGAGGAGAATATATTGGAGAGAAAGTAGAGGAAATTCGAGAAAACATTGGAGAGAAAGGAGAGTAAATATGAGAAGAAGATATTGAAGAGAAAGTAGAGAAAATATGAGTAGATATTGGAGAGAAAGGAGAGAAAATACGAGAATGAGATATTGAAGAGAAAGTAGAGAAAATATGATGTGATATTGGAGAGAAAAGAGAGAAAATATGAGAATGAGATATTGAAGAGAAAGTAGAGAAAATATGAGAAGATATTGGAGAGATGGGAGATAAAATATAAGAAGATATTGGAGAGAAATGAGAGAAAATATGAGAATGAGATATTGAAGGGAGAGTAGAGAAAATATGATGTGATATTGGAGAGAAAAGAGAGAAAATTTGAGAATGAGATATTGAAGAGAAAGTAGAGAAAATATGAGAAGATATTGGAGAGAAAGGAGAGAAAATATAAGAAGATATTGGAGAGAAATGAGAGAAAATATGAGAATGAGATATTGAAGAGAGAGTAGAGAAAATATGATGTGATATTGGAGAGAAGAGACAGAAAATTTGAGAATGAGATATTGACGAGAAAGTAGAGAAAATATGAGAAGATATTGGAGAAAAAGGAGAGTAAATATGAGGAGAATATATTGGAGAGAAAGTAGAGGAAATATGAGAAAATATTGGAGAGAAAGGAGAGTTAATATGAGAAGAAGATATTGGAGAGAAAGTAGAGGAAATTCGAGAAAACATTGGAGAGAAAGGAGAGTAAATATGAGAAGAAGATATTGAAGAGAAAGTAGAGAAAATATGAGAAGATATTGGAGAGAAAGGAGAGAAAATATAAGAAGATATTGGAGAGAAATGAGAGAAAATATGAGAATGAGATATTGAAGAGAAAGTAGAGAAAATATGATGTGATATTGAGAGAAAAAGAGAAAAGTTGACAATGAGATATTGACGAGAAAGTAGAGAAAATATGAGAAGATATTGGAGAGAAAGGAGAGAAAATATAAGAAGATATTGAAGAGAAAGGAGAGAAAATATGAGAATGAGATATTGAAGAGAAAGTAGAGAAAATATAATGTGATATTGGAGAGAAAAGAGAGAAAATATGAGAATGAGATATTGAAGAGAAAGTAGAGAAAATATGATTTGATATTGAAGAGAAATGAGGAAAAACATGAGAATGAGATAAAAGAAGGAAAGTAAAGAAAATATTATAATGATATAATGAAGACAAAGTAGAGAAAATTTCATAATAAGATATTGGAGGTAAAGGAGGGAAAACACGAAAATGACATATTGAAGAGAACGAGGAGAAAATATGAGAAGATATTGGTGAGAAAGGAGAGTAAATATGAGAAGAAGATATTGAAGAGAAAGTAGAGAAAATATGAGAAGATATTGGAGAGAAAGGAGAGAAAATATAAGAAGATATTGGAGAGAAATGAGAGAAAATATGAGAATGAGATATTGAAGAGAAAGTAGAGAAAATATGATGTGATATTGGAGAGAAAAGAGAGAAAAGTTGACAATGAGATATTGACGAGAAAGTAGAGAAAATATGAGAAGATATTGGAGAGAAAGGAGAGAAAATATAAGAAGATATTGAAGAGAAAGGAGAGAAAATATGAGAATGAGATATTGAAGAGAAAGTAGAGAAAATATAATGTGATATTGGAGAGAAAAGAGAGAAAATATGAGAATGAGATATTGAAGAGAAAGTAGAGAAAATATGATTTGATATTGAAGAGAAATGAGGAAAAACATGAGAATGAGATATAGGAAGGAAAGTAAAGAAAATATTATAATGATATAATGAAGACAAAGTAGAGAAAATTTCATAATAAGATATTGGAGGTAAAGGAGGGAAAACACGAAAATGACATATTGAAGAGAACGAGGAGAAAATATGAGAAGATATTGGTGAGAAAGGAAAGAAAATATGATAATAAGATATTGGAGGGAAGCAGAGAAACTATGATAATGAGATATTAGAGACAAAGGAGAGAAAATATGAGAATGAAATATTGGAGAGGAAGGAGGATGAGATATTCAGTGAAAGAAGAACAGAAAGAATTAAACAGTGTGAGACGAAGGCAATGGAAACCTGGAAAAGGAAAGACATAAAAAAGCAATGCCTATCAGCTTAAAAGGATGAATGGAAGTAAAACGATTTTTTATAACAACACGTCGTCACCGCTAATGGAGTATCATTTACAACCATTAATCCTCAAACTGGTTTAATCCGGTGCAACAATATGAAAACCAATGAACTATCGACGATGGAAACTTTTGTCACTGTAGTTCTATAACTCAACTACTGATTGATGAAAATCTCCCCCGTCAAACATAATTATATCGCAAATTGAATTACGAAAATTTCAGTTTTATTGTGATTGATGGAGATTAAAATCGCTCTGTGAGTCATGTCAGGAAATAGGTACTGCTTGCTTTAGTCCGGAAGCTGTTTAGACCGCGTCATTTCCTTTTCTTTTTCTATTTTCACCGAAAACGAGGAAAATAGGAAATTCTTCATTTCGATGTCGAAAAATTTTAAGGGCTAAAATATCCAAATGGCAAATCATATATTAATAAGAACAGCGATACTGTACTACGCATTGTGTTACATTTGTGGGTAGTGGTGTAATGGATATCGGCTCTGTATAAGAAATCGGCGAGCCGAGTTCGAATTCCAGTCGAATTTGTTGCGTTCACTCATGCAAAAAAAGACATTGGGAGAGGTATGGATCCATACCTCCCCCTGCTGTACGTTTAATAATAACAGGTGAAAGTGGGTCCTATAATATTGGTTGCTGTACGTTTAATAATAACAGGTGAAAGTGGGTCCTATAATATCGGTTGTTGTACGTTTAATAATAACAGGTGAAGGTGGGTCCTATAATATTGGTTGCTGTACGTTTAATAATAACAGGTGAAAGTGGGTCCTATAATAGTGGTTGCCACCAGTCTGCGGCAGAAAGAAACTTAAACCTATTGCGGTAGAGAATTCTGCTTAGGGAGTCATGAATCCAGAGGTATAATGACCCACCGTGTATCAATTATGGCACTTTACTTACTGGCTATGCCTCCAGAACCATCGCACAAAAGTACATTTCTATGCAAACTATTTTCTTTCGTAAGGTTTAATTTTATTCACACTATTTAAAATGTTAAAAAGAATTTCAAAATAAATATAAAGTTATTCTGCAAATAATATGAATAAATAAAATAATATATATTTAATAAATATTAAAAATTACTAGAAACTATTTTATATATACAAAATCCTGATCAAATAATTTTATTTCTTTCAATTATAGTATTTGCGCTATTTAAAATAATAAAATTCAAGCTTGATAAATCCAGACCTAATATTAAAAAATATATATATATCATTAATTGGCACTAAAACTAAAGAAATTGAGACATTTTGAAGACGGCAACTGAAGAATAATAAATATTGACATATATCAGTTTTATATCATTAGGAGCAATGACGCACAATATTGCCCAGGTTTCATTACCCGTGAGGATATAATACCGCAAACCTGTGATATAATATTTGTGTTTTGCACAATCTAGAGCTTTACAACCAAAATCCCTTTTTCCTAGATCCACAAAGTTGAATCAAATGAGTTTTCTCCGTACACCTTTTATAAGAAGTGTTATCTACTCAGAAAGATTTTGCCCAAGAATCGCTGCTTTGTGGAACATACTCCTGTGTGGATACTCCCCAGAACACAACATTCTTAATCTTTTCAAGTCTAAGGTCGATGCTTATCAATCCGGTATAAAGTCATAATCCTCATTTTTTAAAAATCTTCCTCTTACAGTCATATCAAACACATCATTTATCAACGCTCTGACTTAAGTGGCTCTTGGGCCTTTTATTGGGTGAAATTTAGTACCAAAAAAGTTGATCACACATAAGTGTAAATGTGCAACAATGACAATTCATTAGCATGACTTAGTCAGGAACAATTTTACAATTCCTTCTATATAAAAAAAAAACGCAATAACATTATATATTTATCAGTGACGCAACCGCCCCCCCCCCACTTCCTAATAATGAAATATTCCACTTTTATTACCTGTCTATATTTCTGAGATGAGGTATTATGTATATTATTTACATTATTCGGACTACTGTCCTCATCTTTGTCGTCATGTTTATTACAACGTTTCGGCCGTTGTACGCTCCTGCCTTCTTCATGTGGTTGGAATGTTGAACTAACCCTATATTTCACTCACTGGGTTAGACTGTTCTAAATCCACGTGCCATGTTTAATGGATATCAGTTATCAGTTATCTCCTGCTAATTTCCCTCTGAACGTTCTCCACTGCCTTAACCGGGTTTTGAACTCACATTCTTTGGGTCCTGTCACTGGATCTAACCAACGGCTTTATCCACTGCGCCATGTGTCCACTTTTATTGCTGCGCAGATGCCTCTTGAAATTGCCATAATAACGTGTGTAGTGCCTTGATTTTTATTTTTTTGTGTTATTTTCCTATATTTTTTTTTACTCTTAACGAATTTAAAAATGCTCCTTATACTTGGTTGGCAATCAGACTAGAAGAAATATAATTCTGAATTTAATACCGTTTAGGCGTGAGGCTGGCAACGCCACCCAGTAAAATCCGACAGAAGTAACACCTGACACGGTAAGGCTATGGTCCCCTACCCCATAAGGGAATTAAATGGTACTAAGGAATTGGAATGTTTTCAGAAGAAAAAAAAAAATATGAATTTCCAAATAATAATATAAGTGTATTTGTATAGGCTTTCTCTGTAATATTTGTAACTGTTTGCAATATTTAATTATCTCCCTTGCACTGAAGACACCTGGTGTCAGTGTCTTTACAAAGACAATAGTGATCTCCTTCCAAGCGCGTGAAGTGAAAACAGTGATTCTATCAATGTACGAAATAATTGCAAAATCTATTTAGAGACTCACACACGAAAACCTTCTAATAGTATTCGAAACGTAAGACAAATCCTCCACTATTTTGGCACGAGTCTCGTAATACATTAAAGCCGTGCGGGCGCCATATGCAATGGAAAGTAGTTTGTCTAGGGCAAGGCTTGATGACGTGGCCCATCTCTCTTCAAGTTGGTTTTGAACTTATAGTTTTCCTCCTTCTAGACTGATTGACACACCAAGACTAAAGATCAGTCTACCCAGTTATTTATCCCATAGCTGGAGGAAAGAGTATTTATACCTTTATTATAAACATCAGCGATAATTGGATGAAACGAAACGGCCAATTTTACTGTCCAAGACTATAAACTTTAAACCACAAAGTATTTTTAATCGTTTCACCCCGTACAAGGAACTAGAACACAGGCATTTACAGGAAGTGAAAGAGAAAGAAGACATTATACGGAAACATGAGAATAATAAAGGAATAGGATTCAGGAAGATAGAAGATGGCGATTGATGTTGCATTTAAATTCTTGAAGTCTGCGGATTCAAGGGATACAAGAAAACAAAAGGGAGTTCCACAGATGAGAAGTGTGAGAAAAGAAACCGTTATAAGAGAATAGACAGTTGATGGTAGCTCGTTCAACAGTAAAACGTTGAGAGCTAGTTGCCGATCTGGCAGCACGCTTGAATTCTCGCAGTCGTGCTACTAAATAAAAATGCTCGTCAGAACAGTTTCCGTGAAAATATTTCTAGAAAATACATAGGGGAGATACGTCACTTTAGTGAGAATGTGACTGGAATCGAGATGCCAGGTCAGGATCGATTATATTGCAGACCCTTTTTTTTTAATTTATCAAGAATCTTGAGATATATACAACAGGAGAAACAAACCAAACATGGCAGCAGTATTCAGTGCTCTGATGAATGTTAGTAGTATTGAAATATTATTAAGCATTGTGTTCGCTTTTGAAACTGGCTTACTATTATCCGCTATGTAAGACTCATTCCCAATGCTACTGCGTATTCACTAAAGTCATGAAGACGAATTCTATGGCATTATTCTTGGCAGATTGAAAACGAACGAAGCCGATAGAATATTTAATTGAACAATATTTATTTGCCACAATGATGAAAGGTTCTCAGCACTTACAAAGTTTAGGAAGTTATCCAGCCGGGATAGTTTGAAATGAATATTAGCGTAAGCCTCTGAGGTTGCACCCTCCAGGCAGTAGCCCTTCTTCGCGATAAGAATGGATTCATTACCTGGTACCTGAAGCTTTTACCTGGCAAAAGGGGATGTGCCGAGATGATTTGAGAAATTTTTAAATGGCCTTCCGGAGCTCCCACATTAATCTCCGAACTTTTGTCATTCTGGTCAGATGTGGGATCGCGGATTAATAACACCTCTATAATCTATATTATATCAATTGTGAATTATGTACTTTCGTCATTTTTCAGTATTTCTACTGCTTTTATTTTTCTTTATCCAAAGTACTTCTTATCCCTTCAGGAAGGGTTAAAATATTCTTAAGTTAGTTTTCATTTCTTTATCTTTTGTTCTTTCCCCCTAAAACCCTTGACACTCACAAGAAATTAAAAAAAAAATGGATATTTTTACATAATAATTTAGCATGACCAATAATAAAAAGAAATAGTGTGATATTATGCCGAAACAGACATAGCCTTTAAATTTCACAGAAAGCCATCAAAAAAATTCAGGTGCATAGCTGACCTCGGATTTCTTCAGGCTAGCGAATAAAGAAATACTTCTCACCTGCAAGATTGGGAACGAAAATAGTGTAGAGATCGATATACAAACATGCAAATTACAGATGTCTTTCGGCAGTTTCTCTCAGAAAACATGCGTTTGCATATACCAAACTGGTCAAAAGGAATTTAGCAAATATTGAAGTAAATAATATTTTAAGTAATGATGATTCAAGAGTCGTTTTATCAATTAATTGGCACTACTTAATTACAATTTAAAGATTGCATTGTGTTAATATTTCAAGTAAGAAGGATCTACCCACCTTTTCTGTCCAAACGCCT